ATGCCTGCTCTCATTACTGTCCTTCAGCTAAAAAGAAATTAGATGACCTCGGGCAAGGTGCCGAATCTTTTGGATTGTAATTACTTCTCCGAAATGTTCTCCCATTCTTTTATTGCCAATTGTAGTAACTGCTGCTGCTAAACTAAAATTTTATCACAGTTTTGGATGGAGCCTTCCTATCCACTGTATTGCATGCTCCTCCACTTGAGTCTTTGGATGTTGGGGAAACTAAAGGTTATTTGACATATTGTGGGACTTCAGGTGCCCTGGTCGATATAAATGAAGCATTGAACAAAACAGATATTCTAGGAAAATTTGTGAAAAAAAATTGAGCCTCAAAGGGTGAGCTCTCCATACCACTGACACAATAGGACAAAAGCACATCACATGAGCAATTGATTCCATTGTGGTACTTAAGGTGCCCTGGTCGATAGACTCGATACAAATGAAGCCTTGAACAAAACAGATATTCAAGGAAAATTTTGAAAAAAAATCGAGCCTCAAAGGGCTAGCTTTCCATACCACTGGCACAATAGGACAAAAGCACAACATATGAGCAATCGAGTACAGTTTATTCCCACATATATATTCTGGGGCATGTGTTTAAGCTTCTAGCTAGCTGATAAGTTTTAAGTCCTCCTAGTGCTTTCCAATTATGCTGAAAAGTCCAACTATTATGAATTAAGACCAAATATGCAGGAAATGAAGTTTAACAAATCGAGTAATTCTCTTCAGATGAAGAAAACCCACTTAGAAACCGAACAAATCATTTTTTTAATAAGTAAAATTTCATTAAAGACCCCTCAAAAGGGGAGTGCATCCCAAGAAAAAAAGAGCACAAGGGCCAAAGCAGCCCATTATACTTTCAACATATCCTCAAAATCCACTATATCCCTCAAAGAGTTACAATTACAACTCTTAACCTAAAAGAATAGAGAACTAAGTATAGAGAATTGTGCTCTTTTGTTCCAATGTTTTGGAGCCTTCCTATCCACTGTTTTGCATGCTCCTCCACTTGAGGCTTTGGATGTTGGGGCAACTAAAGGTTATTCGACATATTGTGGGACTTCAGGTGCCCTGGTCGATATAAATGAAACCTTGAACAAAACAGATATTCAAGGAAAATTTGAAAAAAAAAATCGAGCCTCGAAGGGCTAGCTCTCCATACCACTTACACAATAGGACAAAAGCACAACATATGAGCAATCGATTCCAGCTTATTCCCACATATATATTCTGGGGCATGTGTTTAAGTTTCTAGCTAGCTGGTAAGTTTTAAGTCTCCTTAGTGCTTTCCAATTATGCTGAAAAGTCTAACTATTATGAATTAAGACCAAATATGCATGAAATGAAGTTTAACAAATCGAGTAATTCTCTTCAGATGAAGAAAACCCGCTTAGAAACCGAACAAATCATTTTTTTAATAAGTAAAATTTCATTAATGACACCTCAAAAGGGGAGTGCATCCCAAGAACAAAAGAGCGCAAGGGCCAAAGAAGCCCGTTATACTTTCAACATATCCACAACATCCACTATATCCCTCAAAGAGTTACAATTGCAACTCTTAACCTAAAATAATAGAGAACTAAGTATAGAGAATTTAAGCACTCATATTAGAACCTCCTCTCTAGTATAGGATTGCCTGTTCCACTCTTGCCACAAGCCCCACCAAACACAAAGCGGCATCACCCTCCAACCATCTCGGACTTGCCTCTGAAGTAGAAGAAAATTTAAATGTTCTTGAAATCACGAATCAATCAGAGGAAACGAAGCTGACCCTGCAGAAGCACTATCAATTTTTTTAATTTTTTGGTAGGTATCACTAATTAAAAATTTCAAATAAATAGATTTGGAAACAATTAAAGAATGAGAGAATTTCAAAAAATAATGGAGACAGTAAAATAATTAAATTATTAAAACTAATTTCAAATGATGAATCAATAAAGTATCAAAAGTGAAAAGGGAAAATATTATTTAAGACACTGAACCTACGGTTTGCAGGAAATGACCCTAACATGATTGGAGCATCGAAAAAGAAAAGTTAATAAACAGAAAAAAGAAGAAGAATAAGAAAAATAACTTAGGCACTCTTTCCAGGGGACTGAGGTAGCATGTGACAGAAGAAGAGGTCGAGAGAGAGGCAGTTTTGTCAAGTAGTATTTGACAAAGAAGAGGTCTAGAAAAGGCAGTTTTGCCATACCTATTGATGGCTATGAGACATATTCGCAGTGTTCCCTTGCATTTTACATCCACTTATAGTAATTTCAATTTTGGCCCATTGCTTCTTATTCTGTAAATAACCCCTACTCTGAAAATTAATATCTATGATTTGCCATATTTGATCATTAACAAATTCACCATTATCGATAAAATGGTACACATATAGTGATAGGCCAAACATAGATTTTTAGCTGGAGACCATTGCTTAGGGTGTTGCAGTTTGACTTGATTTCAGAGGCAGACATATACGGGCTGGAGAGGCCATTCAGTGAAGTGGAAGTGCTAATGGCTTTGAAGAGTTGTAGTGGAGACAAAGCTCCGAGGACAGATGTATTTTCTATGAGATAACTCCTCGAGTGTTGGGAGGTGGTTAGGGAAGATGTGATGGGTACTTTTCAAGCATTTCACTCTTATGGCCAATTCGAGAAATGCATAGAGTTATTTCTGAGTCCCAAAATGCTTTTTGTTGGTGATCGTCAAATTTTGAATTCTGTTCTTATTGCCACCAAGTGTGTGGACTCCAGACTGAGTAGTGGTACTCCAGGGGCTCTTTGTAAACTTGATGTAGAAAAACCTACAAGCATGTGAGTTAGAGGAGATGGATTGAGTTATGCATTTCTCAATCAGGTTCTCAGTTCTGTGAACAGATTGTTTTTTTAGCAGCTCCCGTGGTTTGAGGTAGGGGGACCCGTTCTCTCCTTTTCTGTTTATTAATGTGATGGAGGCTCTCCGTAGGATGATGTTGAGGGCTATGGAGTTTGGTTTTATCAGAGGATTCACGGTGGGCGGGGGCGCATCCAATCAGCTCGAGATTTCTCATTTATTGTTTGCAGATGGAACTCTAGTTGTTTGGATACAGTTGAGTCTCAGGTTAGATATTTACGATTTGTTTTGATTTGGTTTTAGGCAGACTCTGGTTTGAAGGTTAATGTGGGAAGAGTATATTAGTTCTTGTAGGGGAGGTTGCAAAGATTCAAGCTTTGGCTGACACTCTTGGTCGTGGAGTTGGTTCTTTCCCCATTTCTTATCTGGGTTTACCTTTGGGGTCGCCTTCGAGGAGGCTGGGAGGTTGGGTCAGTTGAGAGGAGGCTTGTAGGGTGGAAGAACCATTATCTTTTGAAGGGTGAGAGGGTCGCTCTGATGAAAAGCACGTTGTTGAGTCTTCCCATTTACCTTCTATCTTTCAGATTCCTTCATTGGTGGATAAAAGGATGGAGAGGCTCCAGCAAAACTTTCCTTGGGGAGGTATGGGGGAGGAATTCAAAGTACCACCTCGTTCGCCAGGAGCAGGTATGCAGGCTGATTCAGACGGGTGGCCTGGGGATCAGGAGATTGGGGTCTTTTAGTTATTCTCTTCTTGGGAAGTGGTTTTGGAGATTTGGTATGGAGAGGCAGAGGCTGTGGAGGAGGGTTATTTTTTTACAGATTTGTGGAGGAGGGGTGGTTGGTTGGTGCTCTTGAGAGGTGAGGATTTCTGGAGGGGTGGTGTTTGGAAATTCATCAAGAAGGGGTGGGATGAATTTTCCAAACACATCAAATTCAGAGTTTGGGATGGCAGGGATATCCGCTTCTGGGCGGATATTTGGTGTGGTGATAAATTGTTGGCATGAATCTTCCTTAGATTTTGGATTGCTATGGATGGAAGACATGCCTTGTTTGTTGACTGTTATCGGCTTGATAGTAGGAGGACGACTTGAATGTACGCTTTGTGAGACACTTCCATGATTGGGAGGAGGACGCCATTGGGTTCTTGGAGTTGCTCTATCGTCAGGTGGTGGATGGTGGATGGTCTGATTCCTTAGTCTCTGTGCTCTTTTCCCTAGGGAGGTTTGATGTTCTACTCTTTCTATATGAGTCTCTCGGATGCTTTGGGGCCGTCTTTTCTGTGGAGGGCTATTTGGCGCACGAAGGCCCCTTTAAGGTGGCCTCGTTGCTTGGACAGTGGTTTTGGGGTGGATTCTAACGTTGGATACAACTTGAGGAGGAGGGGACAAGTTGTTGTTAATTGGTGTTGTATGTGCAAGAGGGATGAAGAGACGGTGGATCATTTTTTATTGCACTGCCTAGTAGCTCAGGACAGCTGGGGTATGATCTTACCAATCCTCGAGAGGCCTGACAGAGGTTTGGAGAGGGTAGAGCCATTGTGTGTTTAAGCCCCTCATGTGTTCGGTGGTGGTTGTGGAGCGAATGGAATAGGACATCCTTTGATGGGGAGGAGTTTTCTACTGGGGCGATGAAATTCTATCTTTTTTGTTGGGTTTATGGGAGAAATTGTAAATTCACGGGGGAGAGAGTTGATTTTTTTGGACATATTGAGTGGTTAGAGACCCTATTTGGTTCTTTGTGCAGCTTTTGCGGGATGCATTTTCCTTTTTGAATGCTTTCTAATATAATCTTATGAAAAAAAAAATCATTTATTGCCAAAATATTAGGAAAATCTAAAATATAGCATATATATATATATATATTTACATATTTATCTGCATGTGCAGAACTGTGTTACCATGTTATTGTTTATGGATGTCATGTTGGAAATCGTAATTACAAATCTATTGTATTTTTTTCCTTGACAAATATATTTATGTATACTTCAAATTAAATTTTCTTATCACGTATTTCTGTTGAGAAAACATTCTGTTCAAGTATTGTACACCTTTACTGTAAAGAAATTGGACAAGCATGCATGAGGAAGGCTTTCTATACATTTCATACATCAATTGTTTTTTAAATATCTTTTGATGCAATTGTTGCAGTTCTCATAAAATGGAAGTGTTTTTCAGGTCATTGCTGATAGAGGTAGTGACATCATAATTGTGGGTCGTGGAATTATCAAGGCTGCGGACCCTGCAGAGACAGCTCGTGAGTACCGTCTTCAAGGATGGGATGCATATTCAATTAACTGCAAATAAGGATCCTATTTGGTTTGCTCCTGCACGATTTGCTTCAAGTTTTTGCAATTAGTTATTGAGTTTCATGTGACATATAATTCAAAACCTTTACATGCTTTTGAGTGCAATATATAATTAGATATTTTGGTATTTATATATATATTATCGATGTTCAGGAAATCGGCAGTGCTTGGGCTTTTGGTTCCATGTCTGTAAAATAATTTCTGAATATTTTTAAATGGTCTTGTGTACTGTTGTTATTCCATAATGTGGTTCATTTAATTGATCCAATGCTAGGACTCAATAATTTGGTATGAAAGCTGGTGGAGTCAGAACCCATTGGCCTATTGGTGGTAACATATGTGTAGGACAATGTAACCTTTCTAGATTTGATTCACCATTTTTATCGTATTAAGTGGAGATGATTCAGTATGTTTGTCTTTCATTATGTTGGCCAAACAATGACTTGCCAAAAAACACATGATTTTTACGTGGTTCGGGCCCAATCATTAACCAATTGTATCATTTCACGTCTTTTATTTTAATAATTGTATCATGTCACGTGTTTTATTTTAGTGGGTCTTATCATTACTCGTGAGTATTTAATAAGCTGATGATACTATCATCACTACAACAGGAGATTTTTTGCTACCAAGCCCTTCTTCACTGGAGAAAAGCAAACTCTTACAGAGCTTCACAGGCTGTGGGTCGTACCATAGATGCCTGTAAGTCTCTTTCTATGTTCAAAGCTGACTTTTCATCAAGTCAAATGACACTTTTGCCCTTGTATTAAATTCATCTAAGTCCACCGGTGACTGGTCAAGTCATTCTGTGGACCATGTATGATGTGCATGATAAATTAATTTTGGTCCAATCCAATTTTAGTGTCCTGGACTTGAGCTTTCAATGCTGATGCAACATGTATTAGTTTACATTCAAGTCTTTCAGGATAAATCTGAGAAAACAACGGTCAAATAGATTGTCAAAATCTTCACATCAATATGTTATTATCATCAAAATCACTTCAACTACCTTTGGGTTGAAACCGTGGAACCATCACATTAATTTTGTGAATACCATGATTTGAGAGTATGGCTTATGTATGTTTATACTTGCATAATATATTATTCTATAAATAGAATTCTTCTATATCATTTCAATAAAAGAAAATTTGAAATTTTTATTTGGTAAGTAAAATTTTTTTTTTTTTTTTGCAAAAATATTCACCTAAATTGAAAATATATTGCGTTTTATATTTGTGCCTACCACGCCTGACTCAGTACAATCAGATGTCGAATAAAGACGAGATGGAATAGGTATTTTCTAGTATTTGATTGTTTTAACCAGGTTGTAATCAAGCTATTGTTTGTAACCCAATTACAGCTGAGTATATAAACATTAGAATGAAGAAAACTGGAGGACAAATTGTGTATAAAGTTAGTAGTCTCATTTCTAAGCTCTACACTTACTATTAGTACTTATTGACTGTAAATAACAGTACTCATTACTTATATAGACTTCATTCCCGTTAGTGGACGATTAAGATATATTACAATTAAAATATAAGATTTAATATTTAGAACACTCTACCTAAATATCTACGGTATATATTTGAAAAATTCTTTACTCTTCTAAAATTTTCTTTAATTTACCGATTTCTACTATTTCTTCAATGTTTTGAAATCAACTAACATTTCACAATTCTCTACACACATGTAGAAGATTCGAAAACCCAACTCACCACGTTTGCCATGTAAAGTTCTCCTCAGCACTCGCAAGATGCGTGTGTGTGACACAAACTCTATGCAAATTGACAATAAACTTTATACAAATTGACAAACACTTTGGATTTTATAAATGTCTCCAAATTTAATTATATTCACCATATAATCTTGAACAAAAAGTGTTTTCTGTTATATTATTAGCCAATATATTATCTACAGATGGCACAGTATTTGATGCGTAATTGCTCTGGAGCTGCTCTGATTCGTTACAACCCACAACCAAAATATTCGTGGGAGGTAAAATCATTTCAAGCATGACTGCCATTTTTTTTTTTCATTCATTTTCTTTCTATTTTTATTTTGTTTAATTTGTTATAGTTTGATCGAGCGATCATTCAATAATTTAAAATTTTGTGTTTTTTTTATTAAAAAAATAATTATTCACAAATTTGATTACTCAAAAAGAAAAGAGTGAACCGGAACAAAAAGAACAAGGAGGTCTCACAGTGTGTCATACTCATATAATTATGGATATAAGTATGTGGAGGAGCAGCCTTTAACAAAATATATATATATATATATATATATATATATATATTTTATAGGAGCATTAGTGGAGTTTTGCTCTACTTTTAGCCGAGATGGACACAAAATTTTGTAAATATATATTTTAAAATAGCAAAATTAGTGAGTAAATAACGAAGAGAAAAAAATTAGTGGAGGCAATTGCCCCACTTTGCCATCCCTAAACACTCGCATAGATATGTTTTATAATTTAAAGAGTTTTAAATATATTAATTATTATTATATTATTAAAATGTATAAAAGAGTTTTAAATCATTTGAATTTCTCATCATATTGACTCGTACGAGTTCTATATGAACTGAATAATTATTTTAATTTCCGAAAAAAAAACTAAATAACTATTTTTGTAAGAAAATATCAACGAGCTTAATGCTTCAAAAGATAGGCGATTAAGGAAGCACACCAAAGACCGAAAATGTAAAGATTGGAGTGAGAAAGGGGGAGACCAAAAGATTATTTCATATTTTAAAGGGTACTTGTGGTATTTGATAATAAAAAAAATGATCATTTACTTATGAAGTTGGGGTAAGAAAGGTCATTTTAAATAAAATTCAGAGTGTAATTGTATATAAGGGGAGTACACAGACCACAGTAACGCATATAGCTTCTCTTTGAATATTATCTAGAAATTTGGAGTTGACAAAGAAATAATTTCATAACATTATTTCATTAGCGTTTTTATTTCAATTGGAGTTATTTTTTCTATCAAATAAGAAGAAGACATTTCTAAAGTTTTCATTTTTATATTTTTACGGTAAGAATGTTAGGGGTAAGTGCTTAGTGGAGGGGGTACAAAATCTTGGGAGCTTGCAATCGGACTCCCAAAAACAACAAAGTTGCTACTCAAGAACAACGGGGAATAACCTTACCATTTGGGTTACGAAACCGTTCAATTTCTAAAATTTTCATAGGCATATCGAATGGTTTTCTCTGTGGCCTATTTATATATCTTTATAGCAGTTTTGAACTTTTTTAAACATATTTTACAAATTAATGGGATAATAAGTTTCTCGTAGGTGAACCTAATGCCCTGTAGGTTAATTGGTTGGAACTTTACTTTTTATATTTTGATGTTTTATATTGTTCAATTGTTAGAGTCCTTCCTCAATTATGTCTGATTGCTTATTACTCCGTATTTGAATTATAATATTTGAAATTATGTCTATTGTGCACCACTTTCACTACTTTGTTAGGCTCCAACAATCCTATTAATGACCAATAACAGAGCCAGAAAATGATTTGAGAGGGAGTGGCTTAAAATAATATTAACATTAAAAAAAAAAAATCAAACTACTGTAATAAACAAAAGAATTAGTCGTCGAATATCTTCCCTAAATCGGTCACTCTCATTTAAGAAAATAACTAGGAAATGGGGGGTGGGGGCTAAGAGAGATGATGGGTATTTTTTGTAAATAAAAATGAATATTAAAATGTATTTATAAGAGTGGTACAAAATAATGTTGCAATGCTAGGCAGTTGTGAGGTCTACTAAATTGAGGAATGATATACAACCATTGTTATTATATTTTAATGGAAAAATTCCTAATAAATCATACTTTAAAGTTTCTTCTTATGAAATCTTCTCAAACACAAAGAATTTCTACTTTTGAATAATGAATATTTTTTCTAGTTTGCCCTTTATTGCTAAGTTACTATTACTTCTTCTTTTTTTTAACTAAAATACAAATTTTCACTCTACTTTCAATATTAATCCTACAAAAATTAATAAAGTATTTCAAGTACATTATTTGTAAATACTCACATGTTAAAATACAATGAAAAACTTTTCATTAAATACATTTTGAATTATTTCCTTTCTTTTTAAATTTTCTACTTCATATTTTAACATGTGAGTATTTACGGGAAGAAAAAAAACAGTAATAGTAACTTAGCAATAAAGGGTGATATTGAAAAAATATTCAGTATTCATAGAATCTGAACTATTTTCGAAATTTTTTTTAAAAGTATGATTTCTTTGTCTTTTGGAAGATTTCATAGACTTATTTATTTTTAGAGTTTAAAAGTAGGGATTATTACATATAAATGGGGTTAGGGTTTCATATTTACCAAGAAGCTGAGTCAAAGTCTCATATTTCTTAAAAATGAGGTTGACTAAATTGATGACATGGCACATGAATTATTACTGTTTAAAACTTGTGGTGCCTAAAATGCCCTTCTCACTATTCCAGCACATTTACCTTATTGCCCCCGTTTAATTTAGTCACTCAACTCTAAAGCATTGTTGCCCTAAAATACACAGTCGTGCGTCACAAATCCAGCGAAGCAAGCCCAGGCAAACACAGCATCACCGAACATGGAACCCTAACCCTCCCTCATCTCATTCGTGAAGAGCCCTTAAGAGCCCTCTCTCTCTCTCCCCCCATCTCTGTAACAGGATTGAAGCGTAGCCGTTGAGCCCTAACCCTCATTCAAGCCCTCTCTCTTTCCCCCTCTGTAACAGCAAAGCACTTCTCCACGTCTAACCGTCGTTGGTGCGCCCTCTCTGTAACCCAGCGAAGCACTTCTCCACTTCTGCCATTCATTTATTGTTGTTCTAGTAATATGGTAAGTACTCTCTCCCTCTTAACACACACACGTTTATTTTTTAGATGATTATGGTCCTGATTTAGTGTTATAATTTTTTTTTTTTTTTTTCCAATTGGATGTCTGATTTTCATGTAGGTTATGTTTATATATATTCTCCTCTTATAATTTCTATTATGCAATCATATATATATAATTTCTATTCTGCAATCAAGATTGTTGTTGCTCTGTTTGTTGTATATGTTTGAAATGTGCGTAACAAAATGTTGCTCTCTTGTGCGTAACAAAATTAATTTTTAAAACTGAGTTTTATCCCACCAACAAAGGCAAAATTTTCATAAAGTAGATACTTAATTAATCAAATGTTTTTTTTATTTTTTATTTTTCTTCTTCTTCTTTTGTAATTAGGTTTGCTTGTTTTTGAAGAGTTCATGCTTTCTTTATACGTTGACTGAACTGAAATCCCAAATGTTATCCTACAATCTTTCCACTAGCATGGGTTTTCATACTTAAAATACTCGGAATTTGCTGAAGAAAACATAATTAAACAGGATAAAAAACAAATTTCCATGCATGTCCTTTGTTACCTGCTGAATTTTTTTTTATAGAACATTAATCTGATCTTAAAACTTAAACATTGTACTGTTAATGCCTACCTGTGTATAGTAGAGATTCAATGTCCCTAAATCCAAATAATTCATGTTCTTTAAATTTACTAGGACCATGTGGAAGCAAGTGGCAGTACGTGTGGTGCCTACAGGCTTTTTGTTGGATTTCACTAGTTAGCTAACTAGCTTGTGCCAAGGTAACAAGCTTAAATCCTATCTTCATAAGTCATTTGCTCTGGAGACCTTATGATACAATCAATAAATGTAAACTGTAAAGAGGCATGCATGTGATAGTCTTTGGGTAGGGACACTTGTTATCAAATGTTTGTGAAATCTACATTCCCATTTGCATTTGCTTAGTAAAAGAATTATTTAAGATTACTAGTATTGGTTCTACAATATTAAATTAAAAACAAGTTTTTCATACATACTATATTTGTTGTGGTTTAGTGGTTGAAATGTAATTAAATATAAAATTTGAGTTTGGTTCAATTAAATGAAAATGCTTTATAATAATTTCATGATTAATATCTTGGGTGTTAAGAATCACTAATAAAGATTTTAGTTCTCAATATAAAACAAAAGGGAAGAAGCTACTCTGTTTGGATCTTTGGACTGTGACTCAGAGATGAAGTAACAAATCTTCATGGTTATGCTATGATTTGTGCCTTAGCTTACAAGGTTGGAAGTCTTTGGTAAATGTTTTCACTAGGGAAACATAGCATTTTAGAGCATGTCAGTGATGGCCTTGGTATCTGATAATTACCAACATTTAAATAAATTAGATAAATAATTCTTTTTAGTAGACTGATTGAATATGTTAACATTTTTAAACGATTAAAAAATTTAGTCTAAGATATTGCTATGCAATGACCAGAAATGGAAAAGATTTCTTCACCATCTGTTCATGAAATTTGAATGGTTAACAAATTTCTAGATATGCTTACAAGTTCCCCCCGCGCCCCCCCCCCTCCCCCCAACCGGTGAAGAGTGCAAGCTGCTTTATACCTAAGCCCAAATTCAGTTGAAAATACAAGACACGAACAATAATGGGAAAACTGTTATATGACCTTTACGTCTAAATTGTATTTACGGGAAAAGAAAGAGAGAATGAAAGAAAGAAGTAAATTTCGATCAAAATTCTGTCCAAGACTGATGCTTTGGAAGTTATTTAGTTACTAACGAGATGAAAAAGAGAAAATATAAAGCAGTAGGTAGTTATCTAAACACCAGTTATATAAATAATAATAAATAAATAAATTAAGTACTTATTCAGTTTTATCAAAAGGGATGCAGAAAAACCCAAAAAGATAAACATATTGTCATAAAACAAGACATAGCATTGGTAATACTAATACCTCTTCGGGCGTTGATTCTCTTCTTGAATAGCCGAATTGGGTCATAACCCTCCAAACACGCCGCATAAATAATTATCCTGACATCGAAATTCAAGCAATTTTCAACCCATCAAAGAACCAAAACAAATAGCCCGAACTTTCTATATATATACACACACAGAAAAACAAAAATTGGTAAGAGGGGGACATACAAGGTGATCTCTCTGGCGGCTCCGGGGCTGCAAAACCTGCCACTCTCGTCAATTCTGGGCAGCATTTCTCTGGGAGATGAGAGAGAGTTTGCCGATTTTTCAAGAACTTCCCCAACAGCCGTGAGAGCTGAAGAAGTGCGAAGAGGAGAGCTTAATAGAGAAATTAAGCTTTCTGAGAATTAGGTTTTGAGTAGCATTCTCTATACCAGATCAGAATATGACACCTCTTTGCATTATTTGGAATCAAAGTAGAAATAGAAGTTAGAACTAAATTGAAGAGTAACACTACTTTTTGTATAAATTGAAGAGTAACACTACTTTTTTATCTAATATATTCTACACCCGTGCATATATATAAATATATTGTGGAACATACATATTAAATTGATGACTTAATATGAATGCCACAATTAAACACACTACCTTAGGGGGGGTATTCCCAAAGTTTCTCATTTTATCTGTTCGATTTTCTAATAATAGATAATAAATAATCTCCTATTGTGTACAGAATCACAACACTTACTCCAAAAACATATTATATATATATATACATATATATATATATATATATATAATATTGTGAGTTGAGTTGAGAATTTCACTTGATAGAGCTTTGATGTCAAATAAATAAAGAAAGACAGGTTTCATAAATGAGGAGTGAAGAGGTTGAGGGAACACTGACAATATTTCTTTGTATTTTGCTCTGTTTTGAAAAGGCTACATGAGAGAGCTCTCTCTCTCTCTTTGAGGTGGATCTGATTTTTTTGGTCCAAAACTCGGGCACTACAATCAAACCAAAGACACCACCTTTATGTGAAGGTGAATACGGATACTACATGTCTTTGCACTAGGAAAGGAATCAAAATCAAAATCAAAATCAAAATCAAAACAGCTAATGGGTGATTTAAAGTTTTCAATGGGAAACAGATAAGTGTAGTACTACTAAAGTCTTTTTTAAGAGAAAAGCCTTCAAACATGGTAGAGTTTATAGATTTTTGTGGGGATTGCTTTATTAAATCTGCCTATGCTCTTTTAGCTGCATTATATATTTTTCTCGCAATCGAGATATACATGGTTTTACCCCACTAATTCTCGGAGCTCCCAAAGAATTATTTGTACTCATGAAAGCGTAGTCTCAAAGAATTATTTGTACTTATGAGGAATCTAATTTTAAATCTGGTGCTTCATGTACTTTTATTTTTTGATTTTCAATTGTATCCAAACATCTTATTTTTTTATATTTCCATTAAAATGGTATCTCTCTTTGATTTTGGATCATGTGTGTGATTATGAAATTATGTGTTGATTTGTAAGGTTGCTTTCAGCTTTGGACAAAAATAAAATGAAATGCTCTTTGAATTATCGACTCTCAATTAACTATGTTGGCAGCCTATTGCAATCGATTAGAGTGATTAATAAATTCTTAAAATTTTGTTTCTTGTGAGGGAGGGTCTAATTTTGTAATTTTGCTTTAATGGTATTTGATAGTAACAGAAAAATTCAGTAAGTTAATATTTATATTTGGTTTTATACTAAGTCGCATAAAGTGGTAGATAGAGCGCAAAAGCAACAAAATTAAATTACAAACAAATCGTGAGAATGGGAGCTAGATTTACACTTGTTAAAAAGAATTGTATGACCTAGATTTTAACACAAACACACTTGTCATAGGCTAGCTACACCTATTGTAACTTCTGTGGCTAGCTATTGGTCACTGTTCTTGTTTGTTTGAGTGTGTTTGGATCATAAAAAAACAAACATATTTCAGCCACTACATGAATAGCTTCCCAATGAGATTGAGGAAAAACTTCAAGACAAAATGGCTGAGCTAAATCTAGTTTATGATTATGTTAAGTGCTGTTAGGAGGAGATTGAAACAGCACTGGACCGTCAATAAGCACATCAATCTTAAGAATCATAGTGTGAACTATACTCTAATACAGGTCCATAGAACACGTGTGCCATTAGGGGAGAGAAAACCCTAACGTACCTCGATTTGGAAGGAGAAAGAGAAGGAATGAGAGAAATGGTATAATAATACTTGTTTAACCTTCCAAAAAAAAAACCTTTAGGAGTCATCCAAACCAACATGAATTTGTTCTAATTTTTACAAGAGTTAGGCTGAAATATTTAAACATAACACGACTTTGTCATATATATGTATGTTTATACATGATTTTAACACACACACACTGGCCATAAGCCTAAATACCACACATTAACTAGTACATAATGGAACACATACACAAAACTAGTAGTAATCATGATGCAACTAATAAGCTCCATATGATCAAAGTAGTTTCACGGCTTATTTATCATTAAGCAGTAGTTGCCATGGACTGATATAGATATATATTCAAAGCATATAATTTTAAATTTTTAAGCTCATTACATCAACAAACTATCAAGACTTTCATTTTATTTTTGTCCAAATCTGAAAGCAACCTTACAAATCAACACATAATTTAATAACCACACACATGATCCAAAATCAAAGAGAGATACCATTTTAATGGAAATATCAAAATTTAGTTAAAACCATTAATACTGACCATGGTTATATCCATTTGAAATTTTAAATTCACATTGTCAGTTACAACCAATACACACCACAATATTGGTCGATAGCTATGAGTAGTATCAATTCACTCCGTTAGAAAATAATATCTATGTAAAATCAGCTATATCTGTATCCTCCTACAAAAAGAGTTAGACTAAATCAGCTATATCTGTATTCAAGCTATATATTCAAGGCTCTTTGATGACTGCAGACTAAATCCTCAGCAGAACGTAGGAATTTAGGAGTTAAAATTCAAAGCCACCAACACATAGGTAGTCCAATTAGTTTTTATGTATAATTAATTATTATAACTCAATTTAGATCAAGAATTATTCAAGATTGTTGACTCTTTCTCAAATGGCATGTAGAGTATACCTCTGTGTAATATGTCTTTAGGCATCTACGCACATGATAGAATTGATGCAAAAGCTAGCAAACTCTATAAATGAGGCTTTTTTAATATATGTATTTAGCATTAATTTATCAAAAAAATGTATTTAGTATTAATTTATTATTCCAACATTCCCTTGTACTTGTCTCCCCCATTTTCAAGACTTACACATATAAATTTTGTGTGTGAAAAATATTCAACACTCTGCTCTCTCTCTATTTAACTCTCAATTTTTTATTTTCAATCTATATTGTCCCATTTAACTCTCTATTCATCTCATAATCTCCCTCATCTTGTATATATGTTTGTTGTACACATAGTGATACAATTATCTAGTAATCAATGGCATTGATTTTGTGGTTGTATTTTGATTTGAAAAAGGTCTGTAGTGTGTGTTTAGGAAAAGTTTAATCTTGACACCGCCTATCCCTATTGAGGGAATTAGTAGTGTTTCGCTGTAAATAGATCTCTAAATTACATTATATAATTATGATATTTAATTGTTTTATATTTCATTATTTTTTGAACTTCATATTTAGTTTTTTTTTTTTTAAACTAATGAGTCAATTTTCGAAGCAGTTGGACAAATGGATGAGAGACAAATTATATGCTATTGTCGATTTGATGGGAAAATTGACAAAAATGAGAATGGGGAAATTATATACATCGGCAGTGTCACAGACCCTTTTATGATAACAACAACAACAACATACGAATCATTTATAAATGAGTTACAACAACGTTCATCTTCAAACATGAGTGGTAAAGTCATATATTATACCACCGAATCTAACAAGAATGAACTTTTGAGGCTGACGGGAGAATCTGGATTTAGAGTGATGCTTGTAGTGAGTGGTCCCATGCTAAATGTGTATATGGAAGATGCAGAGCCTGTAATTGCATCATGCACAATTCCTACTGATCATAGTGAGAGGTAAGACACATATATTTAAAGTAATACATTGATGTATGCGCTGCATAGGTTATGTGATTTTTAATATACCTTTTTATCCACTTGTAGACAATTTGTTGAAGCCACATCGCCAATTGGTCTTCTACAAAGTGTTGCGTCAACGTCTTCATTTCCTCCGATAAATGCGCATCGGGATTCTTTCCGACACATTGATGACATTCTTTGCGTGGATCAGCTTTTTGACAGCCCAAATGATTTCAAAGATGCACTCGTTTTGTTTGGTCTTCGTAATCATTTTCGGTTCAAGTACTTGGACAATAGCAGAAAATATTATAGAGTTGTGTGCGAGGTTAATAATTGTCCATGGAAATTATCAGCTGGTTGTGAAAGAAGTGGTGATATAGTGAGAATCAAGTGGTTTAATAATGTTCACACTCACACTGCTCAAGACATTTCAGATTATAAAGCCATTTTTTGGTCGAAGGAAATGGGTCGAGCTATTGTGAACAAGGTTAGGGACAATCCTAAATGCACCCCCAAGACTATTTCCACAGACATAAACGGTGAATTTTCTGCTAAAATGACTTACATGCAATCGTGGAGAGCTAAGGAGTGTGCACGTCATATCATTGAGGGAAATCCCAAGGATAGCTATATTTTAGTCCCGTGGTTGTGTGAACGAATAGCAGAATATATTCCTGGGACAATTACATCGTGGGAGTGCACGGATGATAGGAGATTTAAGCGAGTGTTTGTAGCTTATGGGTGCTCCATACGAGGTTTCATCAACTATTGCAGGCCCATGTTAGCAATCGATGCTTGCCACTTGAGTGGCAATTATAAAGGAACAATGCTTGGTGCAACGGGGTTCGATGCGAATGATGGCTTGTGGCCTTTGGCGTATGCTGTTGTTTCTTCTGAGAATGATGATGATTGGCATTGGTTCTTGAGCAAGGTGAAAGAGATTCTAGATGGTCGCATTGTGACAATCTTAACCGACAGGCATCCGAGCCTAATAAGTTGTATTAGAGATATTTTTGGCTCCCAGTACCACTCATGGTGTCTTCGTCACCTAACGGCGAATTTTTCTACATCCATTCTTGGGAGACAAAGTTTAGGATTGAGGGCTTCGGGTAAAGAGCATGCGAAAAAATTACTCGATAAAATTGCATATGCTCGAACTGTAGATGAGTATAAGAATGCATTGGCTGCCATGCGGGTATTTCGAGGGGAGTTATGCGATTGGGTTTTGGCGAATTCACCTGAACATTGGTCAAATGCTATGTTTACTTCCAAGCGTTGGGATAAATTATACACCAATCAAGCAGAGTCCTTCAATGCATGGGTGAAAGAAGAGAGGGTTTTTTCAATCACAAGGTTGATGGATACACACATGCAAAGACTCAGCAAATTTTTATACCAAAAGAGTTTGGACGTTCAGAAGTGGACTATCCCGGTTGGGGATCGTATTGAGGAGAAAATAAAAAAAGAGCAAGAGTTAGCTCTTGGTTTTCAGTCGATGCGTGTTTCGCCTACTGAGTGTACAATATATGATCGAGACAGAAAACCATTCAGGGTGGTATTTGGCAGTGAAAATTCTTGTAGTTGTTTGAAGTGGACCATGAGTGGGATTCCTTGTTCGTATGCATGCTATGCCATCCATGAATTATCTTTAAATATTTATGAGATGGTTGATCCATGGTTTAGGGTTGAAACACAACAAAAACTATGTGAACATCTCATGTCTTCTGTCCCCATACATGATATGCCGAATGCAGCTGCTGTTGCTGCTGCTGACGGTGAAGGTGCTTCCCATCTTAGGCCTCCTGCGGTAACACGTCCCCCTGGACGACCTCGTATTAAACGAATCGAATCACAATTTCAAAATGTAAGGTCGTTACACTGTTCGCGATGCGGCGAGAATGGTCATAATCGTCGAAAGTGCAAGGCTCCTATACCTGGATAGAATAGTTATATAATTGCTAATTCTAGTGGAGTTATTTTGTAAGGTGTTAAGGCCTTAAATATGGAATTATTTTGTAATTACTATTAATTCCTTGGAGCTCCCCTACTGCATTAGTATAACTATGTTGTGATAGTATTTCTAACTTATTTAGAAAACATTTCTAAGTATGATGTAACTTATTCTAAGTTGAATCTGTATTATTCGTCTGGTGGTTTATTTTGGTATTGAAATTATTTTCCTGGGTCCTCGTATGAGTCTCATGTGGAGTGTTATTTAAAAATCATAGGTGTGTGAGTTTTCTGGCAGCTGGAGGGTCGTGAAAGCAAGGAGGTTATGGGATTATGTGACAATGGACGGGCTTACATGTTACATGCTTACGGAAGGCTAGGAAAATAACATCATATTAAAGTCATTATGACTTGTTTCCTCACTATTAATTCCTTGGAGCTCCCCTACTGCATTATGACTGTTATTTCAACCACAATTTACCTCGTGAGTCTCTTTCTTCCTCACTTTCTTTGTGTCTCAAAAATTATATGAACATTGTGTTTACATTATCAACATTGTTTGACAGATGAGGCTGAATGGATAAATCAGTACAAAGGAAGAGTGTTCAGTTTAAACGACAAGCTTGTGGTGCATAAAATTTGGCTGCCGAATGAGGAATGCCCCAGATTGGCAATGTCTAGAGCCTTTGGGGACTACTTTATTAAGGATTTTGGACTTATATCCGTCCCTGAAGTGAGGTGTTGTCACATATAACCAGCAGAGACCAATTTGTTGTGTTGCGAACCGATGAGGTATGTATGGCACTTTTTGGTATTTATCACTTGTTCTTTTTTATACAATGACAAAGAAAAAGACTTGTTTGTTTCTCTATTAAATGTCCAAAAGATCACGTGAACGAATACGTTTCAAACTCACGAGCATAATTGACAATAATCACTTCAAATTATGTGATATCAGTTATTATTAATGAGTTTACAGGTTTTTGTTTTGGCTCAAATTGATTGGATTTTGAAATTAGTATGGATTTTTGAAGTTAATCTTAACATGCTGTGATCCTTGTTTTGTAAGCAGAATTTTTCCTATCTTTTCCTTCAAACCTTATTTAATCGGTAAGAAAATTTATTGATTTAAATTGATAGAAGAAAAATTGTGTGTTTAAGCTTCCAATGGACTTGGTTTCATGCAAATTGTTTGAGAATTTCTTTTTTATTGATTTTTCAAAGGGAAGTATGTATTTCTGGGAAAAATTGTTTCAAATAGATTTTTGGGCTTCCTTCTGATTTTTTGTGGTCCAAATTGTCCAATCATGTTTGATAGAATAAAAAAATAAAGAAACAATAATAAAAAGGATTTTGCTATAATCTTAGTTGACTACTGTTACCCTATTTATTTATTTATTTTGTTTAGAGTCTTGCTTTTGGTTACTAGCGCCTAATAAAAATGTTGTCTGCTCATATGTCCCTTATTTTTGAGTTTTTTCATTTAACCATCTCCACTTGTACAATATTTTGGTGTTATATTTTGTTTAATTGATTTGCATGTACTTCAAATGTAGTCTTCCCGCTAGGGGCTGGGAAGAGATAACAACGGGAGCGTCGATTGCATGGCTATCAAGTACATCAAATTTGTAAGTTATATGGTCTTTATGTTCGATAAAAATCTTTTATGATTGCACATTTGTAATGCTTTTTATACTCATACTCGGGGGGGTCACATGCCTTTAAGTGACCAATTTTATGGTGTATCTTGAACTTTATTACCTTATTGCTACATCGGCCCATGTGGAGGCCATTTTTTTTTTTCTTGTTTTAAAATGTTGAAAGCATGGGAGTATGGGATCATCGTATGTGGAGGTTTTGATTAATTGTTGTGGAGGAGAAGTTGTTGATATGTTGTTTAATGAGTTAATGCAAGTTCTCACGTTCTTCGTACATGTTGATATGTGGAGGTTTTGCTAATTTTCTCTTAAACCCAACTCATTCATCAACGCTCTCTTGCTCTCTCTCTCTCTCTCTCTAGTCTTGTTCATCGTTTTGCTAGGATTTCTACTATGTTTTTATACAATTTTGATCCCTATATATATATATATATATATATATATATATATATATATATGCTGTTCCTAAAACATCAATTTTGGATTCAGGAATTGGACACAAAAATGTGGCGATTCCCTCTCTCCGATCAGAAACTTCGAAGGCAAAATTTGTGCGAAAAAGTATGTGTTTCCATCTGCTTGTGTGTGTTTATGTATGTTCGCCAACCAATTGATATTTTCGGCTTTCTGTTTCGTTGCAATGAATTCAAGAAAATGAGAAAAGTTTAAATTCTTTTAGCTTTTGTATCGAATTCCTTTTGATTTTCTTTCTTTTGTTTGTCTTCGTGAATTTGTTGGACTTTTGGATTTACTGTGAACTACGGTTTCTTCGTCTACTATTTGAATGTTTCTTTTTTTTAGACGATATCTAGTGTTGTTTGCAATATCTTTAGATTTTTGTGGTTGATGTTCCCATTAATTTCTTGGATTTTGATTTTTTTTCACGTAAGGGTTTCTTTAGCATATTTGGATGGTTTATTGTCTACGAATATGAGTTTTCAGGAATTTAGGGTTTATTTGTTCAACTTGTATAGATTCTGCACGACTAGAATTTTTGACATCATTAGATAATTTTTTAAGTCATAGTCCTGTAGGTTTCTTGGTTTGGATTTCCATGGGATTCAACATGAAGATTCAGGGAAAACACACTCAATATGTTTTTGTTTCTATTTGTATAAATTTGGATTTACGTAGTTCTTTCTTTATTCAGAGAAATAGACCCAATAAAGTTTAAATAATTAATAGGTCCCATAATCTCTTGAGAGAGGTGCAATGAGATTGTGATCAAAGACACATCAAAAGAAGAAGTGAATTCAAATATATTTGATAATGAAGCAATAGGTATAGCCATTTTAGGGCTTTCCTTTCACAATTCCTCATTGGGGGGATCCACAACACTTCTCCCTTTTCCCCTTATAACTTCTTCCCACTAATTCGAATTAGGTCTAGCCGTCCTCCTTCATTCTCCATTTTTGTGTATGCTTAGTAGTGGGCTTAAAAGAGCAAGATTGGGTTGAATGACCAAAAGATTCACAATCTAACATCTGTGACTTCTCATATAGCTTCCTCTCTATATATACCAGTCTCGAACCTTGACCAGTGGGTTTATAATTCAAACCATAAGCCAACAGGCTATAAGGTGAACCGATAAGCATTTTCATTTCTCCAGTTGTTAGGTTTCTAAGTGAGGAAAATAGATAATAATGTAATATTATCATATGTCCTATTGTCTTGGATTACAAAGAATTTTTACTCGAAAGGAACCAAAATAGATGTAGAAGACAGTAACGATAGTTTCAGGTTTTGTTTTTGTGTTCCATATAAAGAAAATATTACATTTCAAAATATACTCTCTTTATTTATTTAATTTTTTTTTAATATCTTTGCCTGCCTTCTTTTGTCATCGCAATAGGCTTCACACTAATCTTGCTCCTGGGTTTTAAACTCTATGGCTGATTTTTTCCTGTCATTTTGCCTTTATATATATATATATATATATAGGTTTTATTGGAAATTCACACTAATCTTGTTCTTTTGGGATGGCAGCTGGATAGGTTTATTCCCAACCGATCTGCAATGGATTTTGATTTTGCACATTACATGCTCAACGGTGGGATGGTAAGAAAGGAAAGCCCAACACCATGCTCTCCAGCCAAAGAAGCTTACAGGAAGAGGATCCTTGCTTTTAAGAACAAGTCTAGGAGATAGATTCCCCAAGTGGGTTTTCTTTCTTTCCTTTTTCTTCTTCTTGTTGCTAAGCTCTCATTCTGATTTGTGTTTTGGATTGATTGCTTTCTTGTTGACATGTGTTTGTTTGGTAATTTAACAGTCTCCAGAAAGGATTCTTCTTGTTTCTGAGCTCCTACATGAGTTTTATTTGAATTTACTGGATTGGAGTAGCAGTAACATTGTCGCTATCGCTCTTGGGAATTCAGTATATTTGTGGAATGCTGCTAATGGCGCTACTTCTGCACTTGTTGTGATTGATGAGGAAATTGGGCATGTGACAAGTGTCAGATGGGCGCCGGATGGAGTACATCTTGCTGTTGGACCCTTCATCTTGTCGGATGGTAAGAGTTTTCTTTTAATTATGCTTTCGTTTTTTCTATTTTATTGATCATTTATGCTTTTGTTTCTTTGAACAGATTATTGTAAGCAATTAGATGAGGCATGGTGAAAAGTTGGCATTCTTTTTTAATGTTGTTCTGTTAAAAAAAGATGACAAGCATTTTTGACTAGTTGTAAGAAACCCTGGTCAATAAAGAAAAATTTTATTACAAAAAATGAGATGATAAACAATAAGATTCAAAACACATTCTCGCTGAAAGAAAATTTAAATCAGAGACGAAAAAGCCTAAAAATAAAGAATAGAGGCACTCACAGCCCGAGTGGTTGGAGGAACGAAACGTTCAACTGAATAACTACAAACCAGGAACTCTGCTCTTTGATATTTCATGAACTCATGTTTTCCATGATATGCAGGTGCTAAGAAGAAATTGGGCTTCTGTCAGTTTCTCTAACTGCATTTTGTGTGGAAAAAGAAAAACTTAAAGAAAAACATGGGTTTAAATGCAACACAACATGCATTTTTATATCCCATTTAAGTTCTGATAAAGTTGGTAGTTTCTTTTACGTTTTTTTTAGTTTGGAAGAGAACAAAGTCCAGTTTAGTGGTGAAGTGCAAGGTTGAATGAGGCATGTATCATTGAAGATTTTATTATACTGATATAATGCATAAAGTGAACTACTATGAAGGATTATGGCTTGTATAGTTGGCCTATATTTTAGAAAACAAATATTAGAACTAAGAGTATTATATTCTTTATTTGGAGTGAAATGAAATGTATTTATTGCAAATTGTCACATTTCTCATGATCTAGGCATTAGATTTGATTTTTCTGGTGCCACCTCTCCATCCTGTACTCTAATTTTCTTGGTTTTTCTGAATAGCTGAGGACTTTGCAAGACGGGCATAGTTCAAGGGTTGGTTCTCTTGATTGGAACAATCACACACTGTATTAGAAAACTGTATTAGAAAATTAAAAGAAACCAAAAACTGTCTTGGTATGGATGATGGCTTTAGGATACTGCTGAAGAAAATACTAAAAAAATAAAAAATAAAAAAATAACTGTGTTGGTGTAGGAGTGATCCCAAAGTAGGGTTATTAAAGAAATTAAAGACTCAAAAGGTGATGTTTAACTGGTTAATCTTGAAATATAGTTGCAGTTTCTTTGTCCAGTTCTTTTATGATCCTGTTTTCTTACCCCTTGCTGAAAATATCCTATACTGGATCTTGGTTCCCTTTACTATTTAGTCTATTACTACTTACATATCTTGTTCACTGATAATCAAGTTAAATTATACTTGTACTTGAGAATCCAATA